TCCCATTTCAAGTAACTACTTTTATTCAGTAGTGCCATGGTCCAGTTCTTTCTGTGTCAAGTTTGTTTCAGACATTCCAACAAGATACTCATTTGCTGATTGAAACTTTTCTGCACACAGGGCCTTTGTAGGGTGGCCATTCAGGGCAGAGGCTACAGTTGTCATGTTGTACATTTTATGAAGCATTTTGTGAGATGGTATTTTGTAAATTTATTCTAGTTTTTGGGTTGGGAAAGACTAGAGAATGAGAAGTCAGCAGAAGCTGGAAGAACCTTGTGTGTTGCCTGTTTCCTGCAGAAAACGCTCCCTGTTGTGGGAGGGCTGTAAGCAGGAACATAAACCTGTTTCTTGTTGTTGACTTTCGTGAGTGCTAGTTCGAGAAATGTGTAGTTGCCCTTTTTTCCTCCCCCTCCTTCCAGGCTCTTCTGGAACATCCACTCTTCAGTCTGTTGGAGGCATCTGGTTGCTGACCTGTATCTGTGATTAGTTACCGTGGCAACCTCCTTGAAAAGCTTCCTGGTGCCTTTTTCTTGCTTTTGTTAGCTTTTCAGAGGTACCACCTCTGCTGCTTGGAGCTGTAGAGAAGCCAAGTGTGAGGAAAAGGCTTTTCTGGGCGAAGAGGAGGAGTCTTAAAATTGCAGAGTTTTTTGCATTTCCATGGAAAAAATCAGTAGAACTGAGATTTGAGGACTGTAATGGTAGCTGATCGTAGGGACTTTGTGATGAGTTACGGAATGTAAGTGAAGTTTTTCCCTTTTGAAATAAACTTCACGTTTTCCTGCTCTCTAGAGGAATGCATATACTGAAAACGATCTGAATAATCAAAGAAACAGCCATGAAATCAAGCTGTTTGTAAAACGTCTCTTGAATTGTGAATATTCCTTCAACAGTGAGGCTGTAAGCATAACTGCTACAGAATCCACAATAGAAGAACAGCATGAGGGAATCTTTGGAAAAAAACTTCAAATGGAAGTTCAAGATGAATTAACAATTTGAGAACTTTATGCTGTATTTGCTCTACAGTCAGTTTTTAGATGATCTTGGGTGTAGATATGGGAATTGCTACAGCTGATTTTAATTTATGTTAATAGAAAAGGCCATTTGAGGATTAGTGGCAGCTGAGCTAAATTTCTACTAACAACTGCCTGTCTCTATAATTAGAAATGTAGTTTACTGCCTTCTCAGGAGAGATTAAAAACTAGCTGTGGTGAATTTGAATGCATCTGTGTCCTGGGTTCAGCTACAGCAGTCATTTTTACTCCTTCTTAGTAGCTGGTGCCGTGCTGTGTTTTTGACTTTCAGTCTGGGAACAATGCTGATAACACCGATGTTTTTAGTTGTTGCTAAGTAATGTTTACTCTGACCAAGGACTTTCTCCGTCTAATGCTTTGCCAGAGAGGAGGGGAAGCCCGGAGGAAGCAGAGGCAGGACACCTGACCCAAACTGGCCAAAGGGGTATTCCATACCACAGCACGTCATGCCCAGTATATAAACTGGGGGGAGTTACCCGGAAGGCCCAGATCGCTGCTCGGGTCGGGCTGGGTATCGGTCGGCGGGGGGTGAGCGGTTGTGTCCTTTTCCCTTGTTATTCCTCTTATCATTATTATTGGTAGCAGTAGTGGTTTGTATTATACCTTAGTTACTGGAGTGCTGTTATCTCAACCCGTGGGAGTTACGTTCCTTCGATTCTCCTCCCCATCCCTCCGGGAGCGGGGGGCGGAAGGAAAAGGGGGGGGAGTGAGCAAGCAGCTGCGTGGTTCCAAGTTGCCAGCTGGGCTTAAACCACGACAATCTGGTATGTTGCATACTTCTACAGTGTTACTTATTTAAGATCAAGAGTAAGCTGTGCAAAAATATCCCCAAAATGCAAATTAAGTTTTATCTTTATAATAACACTTTTCTAAATTACTGTGAAGAAATAATCATGTATTTTTGTCCCATTAAGGTCAGAAAGAATGATTTCGGTCATCTTCTGAGATGCTGCAGGTTAAAGAATTTTTAGCTCTTTCCATTGAGGCTCAACATGCTGGGCTGAAAATTGTTGGTTCAGAAGCTGATTCATGTGTAGTTCATGTGCTCCTGCCTTATATTTGGTGCTTTTTATCCGAAAAGGTGAAGCAGGCTGGTGTTGGTGACAAGTTTCAGTCATCTGATTGCAGTCTGCTACCAAAGGACTGTCAGAGCACCAAGCTGCCTCTCAGACTTTTATTTCAACAAACAATGTGCTGCATTACTCATGCTTCTCATTGTGAAGTATTATCTTAGCTAATCAAAAACTTCTTTCCTGTCTTATTGCTGCTCTCCAGTTTGAAAAAATGCAGACGACAGTGACAAGGTTAGTCTCATCAGTATTCTATACTTAAGAATAGTAGTGCCTAACTGTACTGTTCCCCTTTGTATACATCCTACAATAATGTTAGGCCTTCAGATTTCAACTTTGAATTCATTGTGTCTGCTGTACTCATCACACATTTTTCAGTGTTGCAATTGTCTTTTAGGGTACAATCCCCAGTCTGTAGATCAGCCAGATCAATGGCCTAATATTTAACCTTATCTAAAGCCTTGGATATTTGAACAGTGCTGTTCTTACTCAGGCTATGACCACGTGTGTGCTAATTATAGGTTACAGTGATGCTAATACTGCTTTTATCATTTAATTCTCTAGTTTTGTCAGCCTCAATTTTCATGGTTACCTTCTGGAAACTAAAGGAGGGGGCATAGCATGCATCTGTGCCAAAATACATTGGGAACGGAACCATTCCATGAATCCCCATGCAAACACTGGTTGGAGATGTCTGTTAGTTCTTGGTATATATGAGCTATTTTTTGTATGCATGCACAGTGTTTGATTTTAATCAGAATATTATGAAGCATGAAGCCCTGCACCTCACAGATGTGAAATGTCTGCAGTTTTAGCTAGTCAACAGAGCCACATTGGGTTTTACAGGACTGATTTCTGTGAAACTGTTTTAATTTCACAGTTATTAATTGAATCCATTATCACTTGCATTCAGTATGGTGTTTTCCTGTTACTCTGCCTGGATTAATATGGAGCTAAATAGTTTACAGTTATGTATCCATCTGAAACAGCATTTAGAATATTAAAATTCTGTTCATTGGGTTCAAGCAGGTTCCTCTACCTCTCTGTGTTTAAGATCAGTTCCAGTAATGTGGAATTATCATCCCTGTGAGCCAAATAACTAACCTTGCTTATGTTACACTGTCGGCTCTATTTTATAATATGGGCTACTGCTATTCCGAGTCGCTGTTAATTGATACAAGGCTCGTCCGTCCTGTAAGAGCTTTAGAGTTTAGCTACAAATGAGGCATGATCTAAAGAAAATGCTTTAGAAAGTGGCGCATGGCTGTGCAGAGAACAGAACAGCCAGGGAACATGTCATCTTTGGAAGAAACTGTGTAGTGAGCTTGCAGTATATAGCCTCTGTAAATCCTGTACAGAACAAACATCAAGGTGCACCTCTGGTTTGAGAACATCGGCTTCTCAAATTATTTGTAATCTTTGGTTTTGTCATGAGGATTCGTGGCACCATTAAGTGAGATGGAAGGAAATAAGATAAGGGAGTATCAGTTGCTATGAGGAGAAGAATGCTTGTTCCATTCCCACCTCCCTCCCGTTTTTGAAAGGTATAGGTTGGGAAGACAGACTTGGTGACAACATTGTAGGGCCTCTCTTTGAGATAAGCTAAAAGAGCTTGAATAAGTGGTACAAAATCATGAAATAACTAGTGAATACTTAATGAGAGTAAAGAAATGCTTGTGAGAGAAGCCTGTACTCAAGGAAGATCTAAGTTAGTTAAAAGGGCAGGTTGTCCACTATGTCTAGAACAGAACCAGCTAAATCATGGGCTGAAGGAGAAATGTGGTAGCAAGATTGTATCTTAACTACTTGTGAAAGTCTGACTATTGGACTTCATACTTGTTAATATTTTGTATGAAGTGTGCTGAACAGCATTTTAAGGACAAAGGTTGTATGGTAGTGCTATGCCCACTTGCAATCCCTAATACTAAGTAAATAGTATGCTAGAGTATGACAGCAGTAGCAGCATAAAACTTGCTTAGCATGGGGTTGTGTTCACAAATTGGAAATACGCTCATGTGACCAACTTTGTTGTTGTGCTTCCAGATGGATGGAGGCCTGTCTGAATGAGGAGCTGCCTCCCACAACAGAGCTGGAAGAAGGACTGAGAAATGGAGTATACCTGGCCAAACTTGGAAACTTCTTCTCCCCTAAAGTGGTTTCTGTGAAGAAAATCTATGATAGGGAACAGACTCGATATAAGGTGAGAGCTGTAAGCCATAGATACTGCTTTAGGTAGACATCTGAAACGGGAAAATGTGCACATGGAGGCACTGTGAGCAAATAAACAGAACATTAGTTTGTTATTATTAGCTGAGAAACTTCATCTTCTCTCTAGAACCCACGTTAAGGGAGGGGTGGTGTGTGTGTGTGTGTGCCTGAGTGGACTCAGCTGTATATCTGGGCCTGTATTCATGTGAAAGAACTCATTTATAAATAGTCAATATAATCATATACAGAGGACTTCTGACTTCTGTCAGAGTACTGTTTTCACTATCTGTCTTAATGAACCTCGTTGCTGTTCCTGGCAGCTGTGATGCTTTGTTTCTTACTGCCCTCTTGTTCCTGCCCATTCTTATTTCAGGCAACTGGTCTCCACTTCCGGCACACAGATAATGTAATCCAGTGGCTGAATGCCATGGCTGAGATTGGTCTCCCCAAGGTAATTTCTGTGTTGTATATGCAGATAAATAAGCTCAGAAAAGCTTTACATTTTGTGGAAGCATTTGCTGTTATACAGAAATGGGCAGACTTCATCTAGTTAATTCTTCATTTTCTAGATTTGCATCCCTACACAAATTCTCTCCTAAAACTTGTTAAAAGATTTCATTATGTGTGTGAGAATGATTAGGAGCAAAATAATTCCACCTTCTGTACTATATCCATAATATCACTATTCTTGCATAACATTTGTGTTACATTGTTCTTGTCATTCTTTCTGTTGAGCAATATTTGAGCTACAGTTTGTGAAAGTTTGGTTTTTTGGTGTTTTTTTTTTTGTTTGTTTGTTTTTTAAGAGATCTATGATAAAAGGAGCAGTGCAACAGAAAATACTGTGCTCACCATTTCTTCAGGTTTCCCTATGAAATTTTCACATCAAGTTGAAATGTTCCTGGTGTAGCTTAATCAGTTCCCTAGGGGAATGGCTAAACTCTTCTGAGTTAATAAGCAGTGTTGCTTGAAAACAGACAGAGCTATAGCAGTGTTGTGCTGCTAGTCAAGTTGCATACATAGATAGTAAGTAAATTTTTTTTACCATGGGTTATTTGGTTTTTTTTTTTTTTTTTTTTTGTAAGCCATGTTATGCTTAGTCTCACCAAAACCAACCTTGTGTAGTTTAATCTGACATATGTTTTGTTTTCATACATGCTTGCAATTTGAACACTTAATCTTGGCAAAGTTTTTCACATGTCTTGCTGAGATTTACTAGTTGAACCTTGCTGGGGTTTATGATGAGCAGCTGGACAAAGAGAAGTTAAGTGCCAGGTGTGAGGCAAGGTTTTCAGATGTACCTGGTTTTGTGGGGCAGGAATGAATGTGTTAGGAAGTATTAAATAAACTGGGCTCAGGTCCATTGCATTGACAAAGGGATATTGCTGGTCTAAGTATTCTGCCACGCAGAAGACCCAGGGAACCAACGCTGTGGAATTGTGAGGGTCCTTCAGTTGCTCTTGCCTTTACAGAAAGAGCAGTGCTATTTTGTGCTCATAGGCAACAAAATAGGCTCATAGGCAGGGAACCTTCTGATAACTAGGAAGTAATGTACCTTGTAAGTGCTTCTAAATTGACATTCAGTATTAGCCTCTTCTGTTAAACTTTGAAGAGCTTTGCATTTGAGACTGAAAGCTTTTGGGTCTGGCTAACTGAAAATGTATGCAGAGCATCTCAGTGCTGATCTCAGTTTCCCTCTGTAACAAGATTTTTCTCTCTTCTAAGTGTTTTTTTTAATCTCTTGGCTTTCACTAAACTCATTAATACTTTATGACCCGGTATCTTGGTGGGCACACAGAAGAAAGGGTGTACTCATCCATGTATGTACAGTGTGGGCAGGAGAAGGGGAACCTTGTTTTGGGTGATAGAATTGGTGCTTCAGGTAGGAGGAATGTTGGGTCAGGGCTGAGAAGCTCAAAGAATTTTGTTCTGTGGACTGTTTCATTAGTATACTGCAGAAGAATTGGACTTATCAGTTATGTCATTTGGCTATATAGAGAGAGTATCATTCAGACTGCTAACTTTCTTTTATCTTTAGATATTCTACCCAGAAACTACAGATATCTACGATCGCAAGAACATGCCACGCTGTATCTATTGTATTCATGCACTCAGGTAAGGCATGTCAAGAGGTAAACCCTCTTGGCTAGCTGGTTTGAATACAGGTGCAGCTTTTGGAGCATGTTGAGATTTTTATTTAACAAGGATTCCTTTTGTAGCATTTACTAGGTGATTGCATGCTGGACTGTGTACATTTAGGTCTTTATCTGTTGCTTGCTCAGTTTCGGTTCTCAAGAATAGCTTGTTCTGCTCTCTGATCTGTTGCCAGTGTGACATCCAGAGAGATAGATAGTGTTTATCTAAATGTTGTATTTCAGATTTCTGTAGATGAACTTATTTATAGAAGCGAGCTGGATCACAGGTTTAGATCTATAATGAGTTATCTCTGCTGAGTAAGTCATTTGGAGCTTATAGAGCAGTGAGGAGTAGACCTGTGGTGGGGTACACTGCCAGTATCAAGACCAGTGCTCCTTTTTGTTTAGGTTATGGCAAAGTTCCTCCCTCACTGGCAACTTTGTGATAATTACTGTAGCTACTTTATGCCAGGGGTTAGCTGGCATATAGTCTTGTTAAATGTTCTTTGTTATTTCCTGGCTTTTCCCACTCCCTGTCCCCCAGAGTAGTCTGAATTATGGACAGTTACAAAGCTTCCCAAGAACATTAAGTTTGCTCCACTCTTTCTAGACCATATATTAGGAAAAGGAGATTAATTCAGAGAGCTAAATTAATAGTTGCAAACAGTCCCAGTATTTAGGCCTGTAGAAGTTACAATCCTTCGTCTATTAATGCTGTTTTGATACTCTGTCTTTTTTTTTTTTTTTCAATTGTTAACCTTTTTGGCCAAAATATTCTGTAGCCAATATATCTGCAAAGGCAGCTCTAAGATTTTATCTTTAAAACAATTTTACTTATCAAGGTAAGAAGAGTAATTCTGTCATGTAGGTGTAAATATAGAAAAGGATATTATTAGAAGAATTTGTTCTTTTTTCAGGCTTAGTGCCAAAGTATATTCCAGTTAAGAAAAGGTTTGGTTGATGATCCATAGGTCAGAAGCGTTCCTGCCTCGTCTTTCTGTTTTGTTTTGGTGGGGGGAAAGAATAAAAAAAAATCTGCTTAGATTTATAAAGATTTGAGATGTAGATTTGACATTTTGAGGTCAAGTGAAAAAGTGGAATTGCTTACCCTGTATTTTCTAATCACATTAAAACTGAATTTACTGGAGGAAAGGGTATTGACTTTATTAATAGTTTATTTTTAATGTTCCTGTATAGTGAGATATATTAATAAAGGGTACGTTTCTGTCATCTGTGCAGAGCTGGCAGAACAAGCCAAAAGGAGAGGAATTGCTTCTTTTTCCCCAGTGCCATTTGTCCTTAGCTGTATGGATTCATCCCTCCTTTGCAGCAGTTCTGTTTCTTGTCAGACTCCAAGTGAATACATTAACACAATTTTAGTGAGCCAGATCAGCTTAGTGAATACTTTTCCCCCTACTCAGCATGGTCAGGCCATGCTGCAGAACTGTGCCCAGTTTTGGGCTCCCCAGCACAAGAGACACACAGACATACTGGAGAGAGTTGAAGGAAGGGTCACTAAGACATTAATGGACTAGAGCATCTCCCCTGTGAGGGAAGGGTGAGAGAGTTGAGACCTAGAGAAGAGAAGGCTCTGGGGGAATCTGAGCAATGCGTGCAGCTGTCTGAAGGGAGGATGCAAAGAAGATGAAGCCAGGCTCTTGTCAGTGGTGCCCTATGACTGAACAATTGCAACTGGCACAAACTGAACCGCAGGAGGGTCCCTCTGAACATCAGGAAATGCTTCATTTACTGTGAAGGTGAACAAGGAGTGCACAAGTTGCCCAGAGAAGTTGTGGAGTCTTCACCTATGGGGATGTTCAAAAACCACCTGGACACGTTGCTGGGGAAGCTGGTTCTGCATGATCTTGTTTGAGGAGGGAGCTTGTTCAAAATAAATGAGAGCACTCTTCTAGCCTCGACCATTCTGTAATTCTGTGAAGACTTCAGAGTGTGCCACTGAGGGGGAGAGGAGCCAGCTCACCCTTTTGGTGGTTATGAGCTGTTACGCTGGATTACCTGAGTGTCTGCTTGAGTCTGTATCTACTGAAATTATCTGTCATTGGAACCACAATGAAAAATTACTAGTTGTAATTATTTGTTTATTTTCTTTTCTAGCCTTTACCTGTTCAAACTGGGTCTTGCCCCCCAGATTCAGGATTTATATGGGAAGGTGGACTTCACAGGTACAAGTGCTGATACATGTGCCACCTTTATCTCATCCTCTACTAGATGTGGTATAGATCAGTTAAAGGATTGTTACTGTTGGTATCCTAAATGCAAATTAAATTAAAAATAAATGGTTGTGAGGAATTCCAGTAATTTAAGGAAGAGGTTTGATTAGAGCACTTCTGAACAAAGTCTTTAAATAGCCATCACTTCGCTAATCAGTACTTTGGCAAATAATATCCCCTTTAACTTTTTTGCCAGTATTGTAAGTTGCTTAAGCCTTGCCTCCATCACTTTGGAAGAGGTTTTAATCTGGAACTTAGTAAATGGTTCTGACATCCCTTGACAGTTTAAAGTTAGAGCTGCCATCAGCTGAAGAAGGGTTTGCCAGCTGATCAGCTGCAGGACATTCCAGCACGAAGTCTCATGTCCATATGCTTCCTCAAGGTTTCAGTTCCTTATTTTTGCTGAAGTGTCAAATTCTGTATTTTGCATTAGTGAGGCTCCTACCTGAGGGCACACATCTGAGTTAAAAGGAGTATAAACTGTTTTCCTGTAAAACAGTTGTTAATTGTACCTATAAAATGCTAAGCTATGAACTCTTTTTGAGTTGTAAGGTATTTAGCAACAGCATGTCTCAATATCCTCCATTTGCTTTTCTCAGCATGGTCTCTGTGTGTGGGGGGGAAAGAATGCTAAAATATTGCCTATGCATTTTCCTGGCCTGTTGGCAGCTGTAGTTCAGGCACCTCAGAGTGATGGAGTCTGCTTTCAGCTCCTCCTGAGAGTCATGTGTTGCTTTCTAGTGAGAGAGACTAAGAAATATTCCTGTATGAGTTTCTGGGAGAAGTGTGCAAAATGTCTGTCAGTTTTCATTTATTTTGTTTCACTTACTGAGTTATATTCAAAGTATTATTTAAACTGTAATTGTAATTTATTGTAGTTATCCTACATTTCTTTTTGTAGCTGCAGTTGGTATAGAAGTGCTGATTCCTAATGTGTTTCAGCCCGCTTAACACTGGTTTAATGTATGTTTCAGAGGAGGAAATCAGTAATATGAGGCTTGAACTGGAGAAGTATGGCATTCAGATGCCTGCCTTCAGCAAGATCGGAGGCATTCTTGCAAATGAACTTTCTGTGGATGAAGCAGCATGTAAGGAAAAATGGGAATTTTACGTGATTATTCAAAACAGCATTTTTTTTTTTTTTTTTTTTTTTTTTGAAGTATTGGTTTTAATGCCCCCTGTTGTCAGACAGTACAGCCCTTTGGATAGGCCTTTTGGAAGACTGGGAAGAGGATTCTCTTCTTTCCCTTGTGTTTTTGTGTTTTCTTTTTTTTTTTCTTTCTGGAGCATGGTGATTTGGAGTAGCTAGAGTATTGTACTAGGAGGTGGGCTGGCATTTTTTTGTCAAGAACACAAACCTATGATGGAATGAGAGGTACTCTGATAATTCTTTTGCTTTCTGGTTAATTTCCAGATAATTCTTCTGCCCTTCCCAGTTACTTTCTCAATTCTTAACAGAGCTGTTGTGTTTGGGACTGACAGACTGATTTTTTTTTTCAGTACATGCTGCTGTCATTGCCATTAATGAAGCAATTGACCATCAGGTTCCAGCTGACACTCTTATGGCAATGAAGAACCCTAACGCCATGCTAATAAATCTTGATGATCAACTGGAATGCACTTACCAAGACACACTCTACAAAGCAAAGCAAGACAAGATGAAAAATGCTAAAAATAGGGTGATCAGTTTTTCTTTCAAACCATATAGTTGCATGAATTGCAATTTTGATTGCACTGTAAGCTGTGGGGAGCTCACAATATGCATTACAGGCTTGTATGTATAGTGTTATTAGGTGGATTTACTCCTGGTGATATTCTAATATGTTCCTCAGTAACCTGTCTTCCTATTGTAGAAGACAGGCAGCAGTTAGCTGTGTTACTCTGTTTAGCTGTCTGAAATACGATCAATATAGATACAGAATTCGTGCCAGCCTTTTTATGTTGGGAATGATATCCTTCTATTTTCATACAATGTAGATGTGTTTTACTAACAATGAAATGATGAGCAAAACTGCCTGATGCTCTTGGAAGGAGTCAGTGTTGGTTTAGAACAGTGTATATCAAATGCTTAGCTATGTGTACTGCTTTCCGTGTTCTGAAGCTCTACTGTGGGTTCATAGAGAACCAATCTATTGACATAAGGTGTTTCTGAACTTACTCAGAGTATGAGTATACTTACTTAATATTTATTTACTTCCAGAGGTTCTTTTTGCACATGTAGAGGTAGCCTATCTGTGACCTATCATGGCTCTACGTAGATAGTTATCCCCCCTGACCTTTTCAGTAAGATCTGTGACATTAAAGAAAACTGTAGAAACACTGATAAGTTTGTATTTCATCTTCAGATTGCCTCAGAAAACTTGGAGAGAGAGAGAGATGTGTATGAAGAACTCCTGACTCAAGCTGAGATACAGGGAAATGTCAATAAAGTGAATAGTAAGGATCATGCTAAAGTAATAGTATGAATTAAGGGAGTACTTAAAACTGATACCTGTGCTTGTCCTTGCTTTCTGTAATGCTGACAAAAGTGGAAGGCAGCTCCCCTGCCCTCCCCTTTTGTGGGGGTTTGGGGGTGGTTTTCGTTGTCTTTTTCTTTCTTTTATGCTCAGTACGTAGTTGTAGGCTGAATTAATTATAACTTCTGTTGCACTTCCTTTTAGTTAATGGACTGTCCGTGACACTGGGCCCCTGTTGTCTTGAGTAATGCATGCTGTTTCCAACTTTAAGCCTCTTCTTCAAGTACTACTTTGCAATTGACTTTGGCAGGTCTAAAGAATGTTTCTTTCTGAGCAGTAGGTTATATAAAACATGGGACTTCCTCATTTACTGTTTCTCTGAAAACTCTGCTTTATTGTTACTAGCACATGCAGCAATATCAAAAATTGACCTAGCTTTGGAACGAGGAGATGCATTGGCACTGTATGAAGCTTTGGCAACACCAGCCCTTGGGCTCCGAGGATTGCTACAAGAAAATTGTGACTGGTATTTCAAGCAGTTTTTGAGTGATAGACAACAGAAACGGGAGGTAGGCAGCTCACATACAGGGAGTCTTTTCCCATGAAATTCTCCCCTTTGTCTTAAGTATTTTATATTATATCTTATATAATTTTGAATGCTGGGTGTTGCTTTTAAGTGCTGTGTTCATGGAATTGCACATCTAAAGCAATAAAGGGGATCAGGTTGTACATGTGGTATTTCAGCATATGAACTGAGAATTCGGTGAGTAGTTTCTGTCTTCCTGAAGTATGTGGCACTGTTTCCAGAAGCTATGGGTATTAGAGTGTTTTAAGGATGAACTGGGTTGTTTGTTTTTTTTTTTTTTTTTTTTTCTTGAGCTGATTGAGGTGAATAAGCTGAGAGCGTTTCACCCTCCCACTTTCTGTTTTGTTTTGTTTTTCTCAGGCTGGCCTTACAGGTCCTCTGCAGAAGGAAGAGTTGCAGTTGGGAGTGGATGCTGCTAACAAGGCAGCACAACAGTATCAGCAAAGTAAGGATCAGCAGAAATTCTTGCAGCAAAGTGACCATGAATGTGATTAAAAGGATGAGACAGCACAGTATTTGGGTCTGTGTGGACATATGTGAGGTCTCTCTCAAACAGTTATGAATGTTCTTTAAGCACTTAATGGCTGCAAAGAATGCTAGGGAGAAATGGTTGCCCTGATTGTTTGTAGTGTCTTTTATCCAGCTCTTAACAGTACAGCTGGCAATAACAGCACATAAGTTGTAATACCAAGAAACATGGAACTTTTGCATCCACTTTTAATAATCTCTTGTTCTAGAATGCTTGTATGAGTTTTCGTGCTATGGGTCTGGTGAAGGACATCGGGAATGTTCCTCAGGGTGTGAAAGCTGACCATTGACATTAAGTCTTCCTTGGTTTGAGCTGCAGAACTTTTAACTGTTTCTGAGTATCAGGTAGCAAACAAAATGCAGATCACGATGGCTGGATGTTTTTTGATGAATGCTTCTGACACCATGCAGAGCTCTTTTCTAGAGAAGAATGTTCAATTCTGGCTGTGCAGGAGCAATTAGTTCCATTTGTAATAGGTAGAAAGGAGACTGCTAGGGATCTGAGGAGAGAGGGTTTAGAATACAAGAGGAAAATAGTGAATGCTTAACAACTAGGAGGCTACTTTTGATGTTCCTTACATTTTCAGCATGGAACTCAGCATTTGTTTACCTACTTGCACTATTTTAAAGTTAGCCAGTGTGTACCCACTAAAGAGGGCAGGTTACTGCCTTGAGCAGGATAGACACTGGATAGATGTAGATAGGAAAAAAAAAGTTGTTGCTATTCATCCATCCATCCATCCAATAATTTGCAATTATGAGGCTTCTTATTATCAGAAGACTGAAATGGTGAAACAATCCTTTGATTATCGGGCACAAAGGTGAACTGTTTTCAAACATGAATGTTATTTTAAAGAAGGCATTATTATGTATTTCAGTTGTTTGTAGTAATGAAAGGCTAACTGGGGAGGTGTGGATCGGAAAGCTTCACTCATTTCCTGCAGCTAAGGGAATTATTCTTTTTCTTGTTAGGTATCTGATTATTGAGTAGAATAAAAGTGCTGGGGACTCAACTGTTGGTCTTGCTGATTCTTTTTGCTACCTCTTTGAACTTCTAGGGCTGGCAGCGGTAGCCAAAATTAATTCTGCAATTCGAATGGGTGATGCTGAGAAGACTGTGGCAGAAATGATGAATCCAGATGCCCAGTTACCAGAGGTTTATACATTTGCTGCAGATCTTTACCAAAGGGAGCTGGCCACCTTGCAGCAACAGAGCCTTGAAGTAAGTACCACTTTCTCGCTTGCTTCTGGAAATTGATATGGATCATTGCACCTACCTCGTCTCTCTTGTAAAATGCATTCTCTGGAACAGACCTGACTTAAGTCTTCATAAAGCTGCTTTGGTGTTCAGTTTGTTCTGATATGAAGCTTAATGCCTAAATCTTGAACTACTTGGCCCTGTTTCTACTTTAATCTCTTCCTTATTGTTCTAGCTTTGTTCATGATACTCATCTTTCTACTTCTGTGTCGTAAAGGTTGTCCCTTTGCTTTGTTGTCTATTCTGACAACTGTTATGTGTCCATGTGCAGCAATAGTTTGTAAAGAGCGGTGGAATTAATTTCTTGTCATCTTCGTGTGCAGGGTAACCTCATCCATCCAGAATTATCTGTTGCTGTAGAGATGCTGTCTTCTGTGGCCCTGATTAATAGGGCTTTGGATTCAGGGGATGTGAATACAGTGTGGAAACAACTGAGCAGTCCTGTCACAGGGCTTACAAACATTGAGGATGAGAACTTTCAGAGGTGGATATTTCAAAGAATCATGTCTGCTCTTGATGTTGCTTATATTCTGTGACTTCTTGATTTTTTTTTTTTTTTTTTTTTTTTTTTTTTTTTCTTTTAAGCTTTATGTTCTTTCTATGTTATTTATTACAGTATTGATTTAATCTCCATTGTCTCTTGCATCTTGTTTTTGCAATTACTGTTTCTTACTGGTCTGATTTCTATGCTCTCCCTAAACACTTTCTCACGAATTTCACATTAAATCCATATTGTGGTACCATTAAGTTGTCACTAATACTACACCAGCTTACCCCCTGGGATCCTCATTTGGTCTTTTAGTGCTTTTGTCAATTTGCTTATTTGAACTTATTTCACATTTGGGTTGACCATCCTGCACACAGCCTTTCTTCTTTGTCTTCTTCCTCCTGTTTCACTTTCAATCCCCATGTTTCGTCTTCCACTTTGTGTACAATTCTCACGCTCTGTTACGTGTTCCCTGGCCAGCTTGCGGCAATGTGATGTTTGTTGGGTTTGGGTTTTGTTCTTCGACAGATATATTGATGATTTGATGAAGCTGAAAGCTCAAACACGTGCAGAAGGAAGTGAATTTATCACATGGAATGATATCCAGTCATGTATTGATCGTGTGAACATAGTTGTGCATGAAGAACATGAAAGTAAGTTTTTCTGCTCAGTTCATGCTAGACTGATCCTGGCTCATAAGGAGTGCTAAAATTAGGTGTGTCAGTTCAAGAGAATATTGACTGACCTATATATAATTGTCATATATGTCTAGGAAGTTCTTAGTTGTGAGCAAGAAGGCCTGATAACAGGACTGTTGAAGGACGGATGAGGCAGTCTAGGAATATTTGTGATATTGAAATCAGTATCTCCAAACAGTTTATTAATTCTTCCAATGCAAATTTCAACCCTATTTGCATAACAAAATGTGTTGTCTGCCATCATTGTCTAGGATTAGTCTACAATATTTTCTAATTTTGCTTCAATCCTTCAAATTTAACAAAAACCAGTATTACCAAAACTTGTAACTGAACTGTAGCCTGGTCTTGGAGTACTCCATCCTACTTCCAAATTTACTTCAGTAGAAGTTACTTTTCTTGAAGTCTTGTTCTGTCTTTGGCTGCAGTCTCTGCCCTGTTCAGGTTTTCCTTTTCTCCTTTTTAATCTTTTTGAATGTGCTTTGGCCTTTTTACCTTTCCAGTATTTAGTGGGAGTTCACAGGCTCAGGCCAGGATATACCTCTACTCTTATCTGTAGGTAATCTGACTAGCAGATGCACAATAAGCCATCCATCCTTGTGCTGACGAGTCTCATGTAACGGTCTGTCAGATGCATTTCTACAGAGAGATGACTTTTTTCCCAGGTCTTATTCTCAGTCCTTTAACTCCTGGGTATAACAGGAGTTAAAGTAGTTAACAGTACTTCCAAATTAAAGCTTCTTTGAAGATCAGTAGTGCAATTATTGCATCGAAGAAATAGCCTTTTGCAGTTACTTTGATTCAGTGATAAATCAACAGAGATGCACAAAAAAGTTTATTCTGAAGTGCTGTCTGTTCAACAATTATGTATTCAAATGTTTTTGCTTAAAGCATTTGATACAGATTTTTATCTTCTCAAAGAACATTAAATTATCTCATCAGTTTGATGCCATTCAAATTCTAAATTCTAGATACTGGGACCCCAATGTGAAATGATAGTTGAAATGGGTAGGCCTTATCTTTTAAGAGGGTAATTCCTTTGCTTAGTTAGTTACATCAGGAAATTGGAAGCTTTTATTTCCTGTTTTTAGCACTGTATATGATGACTGGTTGTTAAACCTGGTACCTATGAAAGCTGAAGTGACTGATAACTGACTTTCTGACCAGTAGAAGAATATGCCTGCATACCTGTTTCCTTCTAATGCAAAATCTGCTAAACTGCAAAAAAAAAAATCTCTGATCAGAAAATATGCAAAACCCCATAGAAGTGACTACAGCAGGCATGAGTACCAAAATTTATATACTCACGGAGCCTTATGCACGCTGAGAGATGTGAATGGGTGTTAACTTATGTTCTATGCTGCTTCTAGTTATGCCTTTTTTTCTTTTTTTTTTTTTTTTTTTTTTTGGTAGTATTTTTGTTACTAAGTGTCTTTTAGCAGTGATAAAAGACTGGGATTGAGCGTAAAGATGAAAATTGCAGTAAAATGGAAAATTGAAGTAATTCTCCTTTCTCTAAGATGGTATTAGTTGACTTAAAATCCAGAGTGGAGGTAGCAGAGTCCTTGAAAATAGCACAGTTAAGCAACCTTATTCTTGTGAGGTTCTGTGTCAGGTGATTTAATTTTCTATTAGTTTTATTTCTATCATTAAGGGATCATAATTTTTGGTTGTGAACAGTAGTGAAAACTTCCTGCATATCCACGTAGCGTGACATTTACTTTTAAGCCATCTTTGTCATATTTAGCTCAAAGCCTTGCATCCTTCGAGGGGATTTGTCACAAATGTGAAAGTGATAATAAAGTTCGTGTTTACACTGAGTCGGGTGTCTTCTGCCGCTTCTTGGGTGTAGTTAATGAGTTGTGTTTCTCCTTGAAAAGAGCTTATGCTATAGCAACAGTTATGTTTTGATTCAAGAGCCTGCTGTCTTGATTAACCTGATTCCTGGATCTCGTAATAGACACTGGATTTCCTGTTTGGCTCACGTGAACAAGTTTGTTGAAACCACACAAACACAGACCCACACCAGTGTGTGCATACGCACCAAGATGCCAGTTTCGTAGTGTCTTTTCTATGTAAGAGGTTACAGCAGAAGTCTGAAAGTTCACGTAGTCCCAACACTCTGATTCTTTATAACACTCCTTATCCTGTTTAAAAAAAAAAAAAGTGCTTAAAAAAGTGCTTAAAATCTGTAATAACATATCTGTTCTCACCGGGAATTTCTTAGTTCTTTGGTTTGCTTCCTTATGCAAGGACACGTTGTATGTTTTGTTTGTAAGTTAAATTAGTCTGAGGAGGTCCTCAAGGCATACAAGCATATATTTTCATTTCCCCTATCCTTGTTAGTAGTTTCAAAATTAAAAATGCTTTCTAGTGAGGAGCTGTAAGATATTGTTGTTCCATGGAGTAGTCTTCTCAGGCCCATTTACCAAACTAGTCAGAATTACTGCTTAGATTCTGTGCCCCTTCCTATGTCAGTTTCATATCTGCTCTTTGACAGAAGCCATGCTATCACTTTAGTGATCCTGGTTCTTACAGTGTCTTCAACATACGTTTTTCCCTAATCTCTATCCAAATACCATCTCTTCCCTAAGATGTTCCTTTTTTTTGTACAAACTTCTGTGATTCCGTCCTGTGTAGAAGAAAAAGTCACGATCTTTGGGTACATTAACTGAGCTCCTTCCTTTCTTTTGTCTGAAAGATCTCTTTGTTGTACGCTGATTGATCCATGATTTGTATTGATACGTCTTTTAAACAGGGAATTGAATCTGATTACCTCTAGTGTCCATCTCAACCCAAGTTATTTTGTGATTCGCAGGAGATGGTTGCTGTAGGTAGGGCACGATGATGTAGACTCTGTTTGCATTTAGCTAGGTAAAAAATACTTTGTTTATTTAGCTGAATGGTAAATTCTACTGTACTTGAAGAGTATTCACATCTCTGATAATACAACTAATACTACGTATGTTTAATAAGAGTTTTCCAAAATATGAAGCTGCTGTATTTTTAAATGGCATTTCATGCAGATCTTTAGCTTCTTGCAAAGATTCTTTCTAGAGAAGCCACAGCCTTGGAAAACTGTAACCTATGAACTCTGTCCATTTGGGTTTGGATAATTCTCTTCTACCGTCTCTCAGCTGGATGTCTGAGGGCTCAATTCTGTCTCTACATTTGGTGTTTTCTTTTTTTTTCCCTCCAGTTGTAGTGCTCAGGCATTGTAAGTACTTTAAGACGGAGAAATAGTCTTGCTTTCTTTACTAGTAAATAATATGTTCTGTTAAAAATACTGCAGTTCTCAGCTGCACTTTTCTTCCTAAGCAATGCTTATGATCATTGTTGCCCAAAACCAGAGCTTTGTATTTTTTCCCATATGCCTTCCTCCCTAGGGATTTTGGCTATTGGTCTTATCAATGAAGCTCTGGATGAAGGGGACACCAGAAAGACTATTCAGGCATTACAAATTCCTGCAGCAAAATTGGAGGGTGTAACTTCAAAGGTTGCACAGCATTACCAGGATGTGCTACTTCGAGCCAAGAGAGAGAAAGCACAGGTGAGCTCAATGAAATGCCCCTCTCAAAAACCCTTTACAGCTGTGTAATCAGCTTGTTACTGGTCCTGAAAGCCAGGAATCAAAACTGAAAGTGGAGAGCTGGGCATTCTGCATACCATCAATTGATCTTATGCAGTCACTTTGGATCTTTCTATGCTAGAGAAGGAGATTTGCAGCTAGACTCTATGAATCTTCATGAACTACAGAGATACCTATTTCTGTAGTTATTAACCACATGATATTACATGATATAATATCTAGATGTAGATATTAACTGCATGACATGGCTTGCTGCAGCTAATCCCTGGTCCAGAATGAGATACAGTATTTCTCCACAAACAAGATACGTATCTCATCTGTTTTTGCAAGGAGACCATGTTCATTCCAGGAGTTCTGAACTTCTGAATGTCAGTTTCCTGCGAGGTTAAGTTGTTTCATATTTTGTTTTCCTTGTCTTTGTTAAATGTTGTCATAGTTATATACAGCAAAGAGAAAATTTCTAAAACCGGAAAAATCTGGTAAGTGGAAAATTAGGAAAAAGAAACTAAGCAAAATACATGCTACTAGCAAAAGGAATACTGATGTCTGTTGTTCACCTGGTGACGCTTTTATTGCTAATGATTTTTTGAGCAGTAGTTGCCTTATTTTCCAAGGACTTCTACCTATGTATACGTAGTTGCTGCTTTCACTAGCTGACTAAATATGAAGGTGAGGATGGGGAAAGGAAGAGAGTGTTTCATCTTACGGTTCTGGGAAGGAGGATGAGGGTGCACGTGTACGCAACTGATTTTTGAGGGGGGGGGAGGGGGATACGGATTTTTTTTATTATTATTTTTTTTTCCCCCTCAGCTCTTTATTTACAAAGAAGTAGCAGGTGTCTCTGCTTCCAGTGGCTTGAGTGTTGCATTTTCCTCCTGGCTGTGGAGCTCATTGCTCTATACCAGTGCAGAATTTCACATATTGACTAAGATTTAGATTGTGTTGAACACAGATTTGTTTGTTTGTAGGCTTGTTTTTTGACTAAAGGTAAACCCATGTGATAGCAATAGCTGAAAACCATACACATTTCTGATTAAAATCATTAAGCAACTTCCCCAAGGGCCCTGAAAGGGTTAATGTTCCTCAGGAACCCATTTTGTGCTGAAGCATTTCCTCCCACTGAGTCAGAATCAAATAATGAATTCTTTTTCGTGTGCACGTAAGCTTGTGCCAGGCCTGCTGGTAACCTCTCAGTTGGTGTGAAATTACCTTATTTAGTCATATGTTCAGTTTACAGCTTCTCACAGCAGCATAGCAGTAATTTCAGAAATGGAAAGATCATATTATAAACTTGTGGGGAAAATAGTCGTTATCTGAAGCCAACTCATTAACTGGTGATTTTTGCACCTTGGTGCTGAGAGAGATTGTAGTTCACCACATGGACATTACTCAGTTGCTTATGTGAATGTGGAGTGCTGTGATGCATGTTTCTCATATCATGGAGAGAGGGAAAGCATAGACCCTGTAGTATGTTACAGTGGGTGTACTTTCTGGGAAGCCTGCACCAGTAAATCTGTAGAGAAAGCACACTGTGGTTTTGGTAGTCTTTGGATTGACTTCTGCTGGTAGAGATGATAAGAGAGGAAGTTGTTTCTTTGATTATTCTCCTCCACTCCCTGGACAGGGATTTAGCTGTTGCTGGTACTCTAGTGGGACAGTCTGGGCTTTCAGATGAAATCTGCCTGTGAAAGACACGTTAGTCCATTGTCTGAACTATCAGTAAGCACGTCGGTTTTGGACCTGCCAAGCCAGTGGTGAAAACATGGAGGGCCTGTAAGAAATGTTCATTTTCAGTCTGGCCCTAAAGCTCTTGAATGCTGTAAATAGTGCCTCTTTTGTGCAGTGTGATTGTTCTTCTGTACCAGAAGTAAATGTTTCCTGTGTTCTGTTTGTATGATGAGAGTTGTTAGAGGGGTAGCAGTTGCGTCTTAGCGTTTCTTTCAGTAGTTGGCTACAGGAAGCAGTGGTGGGTGGGGAGAAGCTGCGCTTGGCAACTGCTGGAGCATTGTTCTTTATGTATATTTTGGGATTTGATAAATACTTGTCTCTTTCCTCTTCTTAAATTTATGGATGTAACATTTATCTGGCGAATTAACGAATGGCTTTGGGACTGGTACCACAGCCGGGGGTTTGGCTACTTAAACTGTGGAACTTGCTTTGAGAAACCTGGGGGCTGGATGGGGTCCACCTGTCAGAGAAAGGGAAGAGTGTCTTTGGTCCAGGCTTGCCACCCTGGTGAAGAAGGCTTTAAACTATATTTGCTGGGAGGGGGGGAACCTCAGTCCACCCCACTCCTACCAATTCAATGCTAGTGCCAGCAGGAGATGCCTGGAGAGAGATCACAGCAAAGGAGTCAGTAAAATTACACTGAAGAGCAGCAAAAAGGACCTCCAGCTGGTAAGCCAGCATCGTCAGGGACCTCACTGAAATGCCTCCATGCCAGTGCATGTAGAAAAACAAGAGGAGTTGGAGACGTGTGCGCACCTGGGGAGCTGTGATATTGGCATCATGGAGATGTGGTGAAAAGCCTCCTATGACTGGAGTGTTGGAATGAAAAGATACAGGGTCCTCAAGAAACACAGGCTGGGGAGACAAGGAGGGGGGTGTTGCCCTCTACATCAGTGCCCAGCTGGAGTGCACGCAGCTTTGCCTGGAGATGGATGAGGAGCCAACCAAGGGCTTATGGATCAGCACTAAAGAAGGGAGTGCAGGGACAGGGGAAATTACAGTGGGGGTCTGCTACGGGCCACCCAACCAGGAAGACTGAGTAGATGAAGCCCTCTATAGACAGATAGGAGCAGCCTCATGTTCATAGGCCCTGGTCTTCATGGGGCACTTGAAACACCATGATATCTGTTGGAGGGACAGTGCAGCAGGGCACAAGCAATCCAGGAGGTTCCTGGAAGTTCCTTTCCTCCGTAAGGAAGCAGGAGACCTGGTTACCTGGGACATGGAGACGGCCAAGGCACTTGGTGACTTTTTTTGCCTTGGTCTTCGCCAGCAAAAGCTCCGGCTGCTGCCCAAGTTGCAGAAGGCATGGCAGGGACTGGGAGAATGAAGAACTGCCCGCAGTAGGAGAAGATCAGGTTTGAGACCATCTGAGCAACCTGAAGGTGCTCAAGTCCCTGGGACCTGGCGAGCTGCATCCGCAGGTCCTGAGGAAGGTGGTGGATGAAATTGCCAAGCAATTGTCCACCATATTTGAGAAGTCATGGCTGTCTGAAGGTTCTGCTGGCTGGGAAAGGGGGACTATAA